TTCTATCTCTGAGGCTCTCCTTGTCCTATTATCCAAACGAATAAGGAATTATGGATTTGATCAACTGGTCTCTAAATGCAATTGACACCATCTTCTTGACGAGAAGTTTGGAGCCCACTTATCCTGCTGGGACATGATGGGCATGTGATGGACGGGTGGGAGAAGTGATGCATTGTGTGCCTTGCTGCTCTGTACCTGAAGAATATTTAAGTTATCTACCTTTTCAGACCTTTGATACCAGGGTTTCTGCTAATGGGCTTATGCAGGGCCCTGGGGTATCGACGGTTGATGAAAGTAATCAGTGCGGATCAAAACCCCACCAAGCTGGCCGGCTTGATTGAAACAGTGGTGAGCAGGGTCACTAATAACCACACTGTACTCTCATTGGAAAACATCAGGGTGAAACTAGTGGCTTTGCAACAAGATTTGGCCATCACTTGAGACCAGTGACGAACATTAATTATCTGTGAAATTGGCAGATATTGACCCAATTTGAACAACTTTTTTTTCTCTTTCGGCTTCCCTGTGTGTTTTCTGCCTGCTGGCCTTGGCTGGAGATACAACTTCTCCAGGATAGCAAGATAAGGAGATGCTTTGAAATTCCTGCTTCAAGTCAAAGACACCTGTTGGACTCTACAGGCTTACACGAAGACAGCTACAGATAGACTATCACTACCTAGCCCCGCATCCCACGTCTTCGTGTGCTTTCACCCACTATAGGGGGTAGGCAGGTCTGCCACCAGCGCTCTCTAGTGACAGGACCGGATGGCTGCCCCCCTTATCGGACTATGTTGTCATCCCCTGTTGTTTATGTGCTTGGCTGCAGGGGCTTTTTTTCTCTCTGATCTCACCCTGCCCTAATTCAAGGGTGATGTAAGAGGGAGTTTTTTTCGCCTCTCTTTCCCCAAATGCATCTTAATTCTTTTTTCCAAATGCTATCTCCCGTTGACCTGTGTTCCACAGAAATGTGATGTTTGAGTACGGTCGGGGGGTCCAATTTCACTACATGGCAGTGTATTTGACTACATGGAAGTATATGTGACAAATAAAGGCCTTTGACTGATTGATTGTGATGTATATATGTAGTCCCAACAATCAGTCATGACGAGCTTTAGCTGTGTGTGTGTAATCAAGGGGTGACCTGGAACTGGTGTGTGAGTGCTGTGCATGATGGGATATGTAGTTCATGTGAATGACAGCAAGTGTTCTCCAGCAATCCTCGAATGCTATAGCATAATAACAATAGCAATGATGTAGAAGCACATAACCCTAACTTTAATAATAAACTTAACTGTGAAAATATTCCTTAAATATGATTGCATGATTGAAATCTTGTACCCGGGTCAACATAGATGTTAATCCAGACACATATCCTATTTGGTGAAATCACACTCACCCTTGCACACTAACCTCAGTCAGATATATCCATTGTTGCTCTTAATTAGGCTTTGCTTTTTTAGCATTAGCATTTACATACAGCATTTAACACTGTTTGCACTCAGGGATTAAACGATTAATAACCCAGGGTTAAGCACAGATTGAAAAGCCTGTATGTTTACTCATGTATGATATAGGTAGGAGATACCCTTGCACACAGCACTGAGCGTTTTCTTCCCAGATGACAGTCTCATGGCTGACCATTGGCCGTCTCTGCCACAGACTCTCTGTGCTGTAGGGAAAGGGTAGTGTCCGGTCTCGCAGTGGTACGTCAACACGCTTCCCTCAATCCCCTCATTGGAGTAGGACACGCGACCATCTTTAATGGACACTTCCAAAGAGCAGTTCTTCTGCTGGTCCTCATAATCTCCATAATCACTGCTTTCTAAAGTGCACAGACGTGAAGCACAAGACTGAAATTAACTGGCACATTCAAGTCTGAAAGTATAAAGTATTTCATTGTGAAACTCAAAAGTAAAAACGATGACACTTTTGATTGGTTTTGGGCTCCAGGGCTCACAAATGTCTAACGCCCTATTCACACGGGGCGTCAGCGTCAACGCTTCCCATTCACTTTGAATGGGTGACGTCAGGCGTTGCCGAACTGCATTGTGGATCCGTCGGCGCCGCTTCAGAAGCGTTCCTCGCTGCAGAAGTTGGGACCAGCTCAACTTTTCAAGCGCCGACGGAAGCGTCAGCCAATCAGATCGCTGTATGCAAATACACCAGCTCAGACAGTGGCCTATTGCTGACTGAATTTCATTGGCTGACGCTTCTATGACGATCGTTTCAGCTCCAACTTCAGACACGCCCTCTGTCAAGCGTTGACGCTGAAGCCCCGTGTGAATAGGGCGTAACGCTTCCAGTCTCACATCTCATAGATGCTGGTATCCAGAACTGTACTTGAATGAGATTTAGTCAGTGAAAACATTCATTCATTTTTCTTAAGCTTAGTCNCATTATTTATCAGGGGTCACCACAGTGGAATGAACCGCCAACTATTCCAGCATATGTTTACACAGCGGATGCCCTTCCAGCTGCAACNCAGTACTGGGAAACACCCATACACACTCATTCACACACAAACTCATACAGTACGGGTAATTTAGCTCATCAGTTCCCCTATAGCGCATGTGTTTGGACTGTGGGGGAAACCGGAGCACCCGGAGGAAACCCACGCCAACACGGGGAGAACATGCAAACTCCACACAGAAACACCAGCTGACCCAGCTGGGACTCAAACCAGTGACCTTCTTGCTGTGCAACACCACTGAGCCACCTCATTGAATATATGTACTCACTAAAGTTTACCTTCACATTTGACCCTGGATACCTTAGGCTCCCATTCACCGTTGGAGCTGCAGACTCTCTGACCGATTGGATAAGGCTGAAATCCTTCAGCGCAGTGGTAAATCAAGCGGCTGCCGACAGATCCGCCGCTGGAAAACTCCACCGTGCCTCCACTGATGGATTCAGACAGGCTGCAGGATTTACTCTCTGCTAAGCCGTAGTCATAGTCATACTCTGAGTGCACTGAAACAGACACAACATTGAATATGTTAGCGTTTAAAGTTTGCCTGTAGTTATTGTTCCAGCTTCGTGATGAATGTCTGAGAAGCAGAGCGCTCTTACCTTCACATAAAGAGATGAAGAGGAGAAGAGTGCTGAGGCGTGCAGTGCTGTAGTGCATAGTGGAGCAGATGAACACGGTGTAACCCGGACGCTCAGATACGGCTGAAACACCAGTATGAACCTTGATAAGCTGTATTTGATGAGCGATTAAACATTAACATTTGATGCAGTTCTGGGAAACACCACAGCACGATCATTTTCAGTAAGTTTTGCTTTGCTTTGTTTGTTAATTTAGGAGTTTGATCAATTCACATATCAACATTGTCACAGGGCAACAAGCATGCAGAGAGCAGTGGAGTAAATACTCAGACTACTGTAAATGAGTGTTTCTCAGCAATCGTACTTCAATAGTTTGATAAATGTGCACTTTTGCTTTTCGTTGAGTACATGTTTACTGTAGTATCAGTACTGTTACTCCACTACTGTCCTTCAGCCGGCAGTTTCTACTGTATTTATTGTCTATGGGGATTAGAGAAATCAGTCCTGTGAATCCTGACCAATCAGATCACACACAGAAGGTAAACCGCATACTAATGAACTCCCTCAAGACATGGGCCATTTATAACCGCAGCAATGTGTTTGGAAGTGTTCAAGAAGATGTCCAGAATCTGTCCACACACTGACCCAGAGACTGTTTAGATCAGGGGTCACTAAACTTGTTCCTGGAGGGCCGGTGTCCTGCAGATTTGAGCTCCAACCCTAATCAAACACACCTGAACAAGCTAATCAAGCTCTTACTAGGTATACTTGAAACATCCAGGCAGGTGTGTAGAGGCAAGTTGGAGCTAAACCCTGCAGGGACACCAGCCCTCCAGGACCGAGATTGGTGACCCCTGGTTTAGATGATGCCACTGATGAGAAGATGCCGGATGTTTACTGTATGATGACCCAGATGGGCTTAAACACCCAGCAGGCACAGGACATCAACATGACGTCGGATTGATGTTGTACCTCAACATCGTGGGGACGTTGCATTTTGTTTGGAAATGAAAATCGGGTTGACGTCAGAAGTCAATGTCTGGTAAACCTCAATGTCCAACCTAAAATCAACCAAATATCAACAAACATCATACGTGTGTGTAAAAGTCAAAAACACAGCGGCTGTAGCTGTAATTAAAGTGTGTGTGTGTGTGTGTGTGTGTGTGTGTGTGAGAGAGAGAGAGAGACTGGGAATGTGTGTGTGTTTAAGAGAGAGATTGGGAATGTGTGTGTGTGTGTGTGTGTGTGTGTGTGTGTGTGTGTGTGT